AATTTCCTAATATCACATACGTGTATGCCTGGATGTGATATTATGGCTTCCAGACTGGACAGCAGCTCACTTCCAATATTTGATATTACTTATTTTTTCGATTACAAGAATTTCTCAGAGATCAAAAGATTTATCCCAATGGTCTTATCTCAATATTATATTAATAGAAGAGAAAGAAAAATTTGTTCGTCACGGAGTCACCTTTTCAATTTACATACCTTTACCTTAATCCTTTATCTTATATACACGGATGTAATTTGAACAAAATTGAATTTTTAACGTTCCTTCCCATTCCGAATTCCATCTGCGTTTCCATCCTTTTTTTTTTTTTTACATCTTGCACTCTGCTGTTGTCGATTCTTTCTTCTTTTCCTCTGTCTCGTATTTCCTTCCTTCGTAGCCGACGGAGGACGTTTCGTTAGCTCGTAAAGACAAGAACGGAAAATTTGTTTAGCTTGTGATTTAAAGCGTCGCTTAACCCCCTTATTCCTTTCCATAGGGGTTGGAGATTTGTTGTTTCGTAGCCACTCCGCTAACTGCGCGACAACGCCGGAATCACATAAGCAATAAGCGAGAACATGGATATCGTGCAGTCGATTTGGCCTGTGTAGTACGTTTAAGAAAGACTTTTATGTTCCCTGGGACAATATCGGGAAATTTATTCACACCGGAATTGCACTGTGCGTCGATCGATACACACGTGCACGCGTGTATTACCTCATACTCGACGTCCTTTTTTCTTCTTTACCTCGAACTTTATTTTATATATATATAATATATAATATTATATATTAAAATATAATATATATGTATGCTAGATTTACATACTCTTGTTGGTTGAATGACAAGGACTTTTTTGAAAATTGTGTTTCTATTTTAATTTTTCAATATTAAAGAGTCAAGGATTGTGCGACTTGTAGCTAAAATTATAATATCGTCTCTTAACGATTAATAAAGATTGAGCAATTGCATTATCCATTATTGTTACGAATTATTTAACATATAAATCTAAATAAGAAAATATAATATGTACTTTTATACTTATTATTCCACATTAAGAATAATTTTAGAAACAACACGAGACATCTTGCGGTGCGCAATACTAACTAACCGACGTCTCAAAATCTCATGGATTAACCTAAACGAGCAACGTAATATCGAGCAACGGCATACAAGCTTTAAAAGACGTTTTATACGCAATATCAGTTTCATAGAGGGTATGTATGCTAGTCTTTTTATGCCCATCATGTCTCGGGTCAATCGTGCAAGAGAACGATGAAGCTAATCCCTTCGATTCTCGTCGAACAATCAAGTATGTGCAAACTTCCGGCTAATCCTTGCGGCTGCACTTGCCTTAAACGTATCCACACGCGAGCATACAGTGGAGCCCTCTGTGCAATCCTGCCGTGTCACGGTGTAATTAAATATTTGTAAACAGAGGAAAGGGATTCTCCGACAAGAGTTGGCCCAAGTTGTCGGTTAATTAGAGAGACAATGAACTTAATCGCATTGCCCAAGTTCGTCACAAAGGTGTCCGACCAGGGTGCGAAACGAAGAGGAAGAGAGAGAGAGAGAGAGAGAGGGGGAGGGG